AGGAAGATTGACAAATTGGACAGAGTTCAGCAAAGAGCAACCAAATGATTAAAGAGCCAGAGAGAGTGTGATTTATGGTGCATAATTTAACTAAACAATTTTATAGCTCTGTTAAGCATTGACTGGGGGTGGGGTGGTATAGGAAGGTGAGAGCTCAAGGAATGTTGGATTAAAGATTAGGAGAAACGAATGCAAATATCTGAAGTGCGAAGGCTTCCGGAAGGGAGAATCCAAAGGGCTTTGGTTCTGTAATATTGTTTTTGAAAAACAGGTTTTTAGATAATGTTTGGGTCTGTTTTAAAAGAATTTTAGTCCATTTTTAATTTTGATTTATTTTAAACGGCTTCAGAAGACTTACTGAGCAGAAAGGCGATAAACAAATGCTTTAAATATGCAAGTGACATAAACAAGTGCATGTAGCCTGACTCTAAAGACAGTCAATGTAACGGGTTTTTTTTAAATAATGAATGAGAAATAAAGACTGTTGGTTTATCTTTTTTTTTAAAAGACCATGAAATAATGAGTGATTTATATCAAGAACTCTTGACATGATTTTGCTAACTATGGCTGAGAATGGAAGTCAGCCCACTTTGTTAACATAGCTTGCTTATTATCTATCTATCTATCTATCTATCGATCGATCGATCGATCGATCGACCGACCGACCGACCGACCTACTTACTTACTTACTTACTTACTTACTTACTTACTTACTTACTTACTTACTTACTTACTTACTTACTTACTTACTTACTTACTTACTTACTTACTTACTTACTTACTTACTTACTTACTTACTTACTTACTTACTTACTTACTTACTTACCACATTAGTGCATGCACTACTCTGGGTGATTTATAAATTAGAAAACTTAAAAATCCTTCAGAGTCCACATAGCAATACATATAACAATATGCCAATTTTTAAAATCATGCAAAAAAAGAAAAGATAAAACAATTAAAATAAAATATGAGCAGCATCTGGGATTTTCTTCTGCTACTATTTCTTTCAAATAAACAAGAGGAAGAGGTCATATATTAGTAGTAGAGCGCATGTTTCACACATGTAAGATCCTCAGTTTCAGCCCTGGTATCTCAACTTAAGAAAACAGATCAGGTAGCAGATGACAAGAGAGATTTGTCTTAGACCATCCTGGAGAGACACTACCTATTAAGCATCACTACCAATCAGAGCAGACACCACTGGGCTACAGGGACAATCCATTTGACCTAATATGAAGCAGTGTTCCAGTGTAACTTTATAAAATACACTTAATAAAGGTGCAAAAAGTGTTAGTCTGCAGTGTGCACTGGCAAACCTGTACTGATATACAGAAGAAATAGGGCAGATCAGTTTGCAACACCCCCATCCAAACATCTTTTCTAGCATATCTCTGACACACGTTCTTCTTTGTAAATCACCATGAAGTTTCATTATCTCCATTCCTGCCACATACAAGTTCTGCGTCACATGACCTATTTATGCAAAACCAGCATATTGTGTCCAGCATATTGCCACCACATAACATCTAGCACTGGTATGAAATCTAAGATCAGCTCAGGCTGCCAGCAGCCCAGCCCAGGTTGTGACTTTGCACTGATTTTCCAGTGGAAGGGCTCATCATAGGATTAAGCTTTAAATTTGCAGTTTGTAGGAGGGGAGGTCTGGATAGGCACTAACAGAAGACACAAAGCAGAAAAATTAGTGACAACGAAGCAATCATTTATTTTAAAAATGGCTCTATCTTTAAACAGTTTTAAAGTTAATACTGGTACTGGCTCTTAGTAATAAGCCATCATTTTGGTACAATATTAAAGTGCTAATTCTCAGTCTAAAGCAAACAAAAAAGTTCTGGTTATTTTCTTTCCATGGTTCTTTTCCTTCCACAGTTATTGGCTAAAGAATATACAGTTTTCATGTCCAGTGGAGACCCAAGTTTTCACTTCAATGGTAAACATATATCTGGGTTGCATTACTTCAGACTGCAGGCACAAATTCACATACAGTAGTTGAATCTTTCTCCCTAAAAAAGGATTCCCTCTGCACTGTAAATTAGAGGAAGAAAACAGAGACTTAGGCTGTCTCTTCAAAATGGGTTTCTGTTGGTTTATCTGCAGAGCATTATTTTATTTTTTTATAAAACCTGCAAGTTCCTGTGTGAACCATGGGAAAAGAATGGATATCAGAGTTGGGTAATCCTTATACAGTATTAGGACCATTAACATGCCATAAAATTGTAAACTCACAAATACTTTCAATCTCTTAATCAGACTGATGTTGCCAAAAAGAGGAAGAAATGGAATAAGAAATAGAAATGTGCCAAATCAGACCAACGTTGTGGCTACTGGATATGTACTGTAATAGAATCATCATCATTTTAGAACTGCAGAGCTGGAAGGGACCCTATGGATCATTGAGTCCAGCCCCCATGAAGGAGGCCCAATGGGGAATTAAACTCCTAACTAGATATCTCAACCACAGAGCTATCGAGCAATTTAGTATTAGTCTTTTTCTCTCCACTTTTGGAAGGTGACCCATTCAGTCTTCTGAGCCTTCCTGTAGCTTGAAAATACAAATCACCTTCCTCTCTCAGTAAGATATAGCCTTACTCAGTGGAAATATTTGTTTGTTTCAGGTTTTAAATTTGTCACAGTATCTAGGTTTATTAAATATTTTTATATTCATCTGAATAATATTTATCTGAACAGTCTAGTTACATAATCAAACTAATAGCAGGAGGATGTGGAGCTTCATCATCGTAAGAATCAATAGACTAAAATTCCTTTAACCAGTGAACAGTGAACCACTATGACATCTAGAACCCAGTCTGCAGGTGTAGTGAGGCTTTGCAGCTCAGCCATCCTAGTAATCTGTTACTATTGAGCAGAATGTTGCTGCCTGAAAAATATTACCTTTGTATGCAGTGGACTACTTGATAATTTTGTGTGTGAATTGGTTTCACACTAACAAACTATGAACACCCCCATAATATAAAATTTTGGATAGCACTGAAAGTACTGTGAAACCAGTTCTTGATTCCAAGGGGGCTTTAAATGTATGTCATTGATATTTTTGTTCTCTTCTCTCTCTCACTCTTTCACTAAGCACTAGTGCTTCATGTCTACCAAGGTTTTGTTCAATTGGACCTTCCAAGGGGACTTATTTTCCAGTGCCTGATCTCTTCTACCAGCAGCACCACCACTTCTGCTTCCATTTCATAGTAATGCACTCTGCCTGACCCCAAGAGCCAATCTCGAGCCAATGAGCCCTATAACGCAAAGGCTGGCAGAGGGTAGATCGATATCTGTTGGGTGATATCTGGGTGATTTGGAATAGATCAGCCAGGACTTCTGACTCCTAGGTGTTTTATATTACCAACAACAAAACGACCCCCATTCCAAATATATATATATACACAGATGACAAGAAGAAAAAATCAAGGTTTAGGTTCCTCTGTACCTCAAAATTAGACTGCTGGGATCCTGAGAATGGCTCACATCAAATTATTTTTTTCAAGTGAAGCGAATGTCAAGAGCTATTTGTAGGATAGTGTTCAAAGTGTGCAGAGAGAGACAGGCTGGACTGTCAAAAGTCTTTGGTACAGGCCCAAGGAGCTCTTTGAACCCCTGCCTGGTTCTCAAGGAAAGTTGCAGGCATAGTAAAATTAATCCATGGCCCTTGGTTGCTACTATGATTGTATATTACCATGATTGTACATTACCATGAACTGCCCAACATGAATGGACAGCTGCTATTACATTCATGTACTGTTACAAGCATTCCATGGGCATCAGTCTGACCACTATGAAAATATAATACTGGATGAGATTGGCCTTTGGTCTGATCTAGCAGGCCACTTCTTCAATTGTTCTGTTCTTTTTAATTACTATTTAAATTCTCATTTCCCAGTATACTTGGATATTCTTTTTCATTAAAGCCATCCTCAGTTCTAAGTCCTCTGCTCATACCATTTTAACTTTCACCTTAATAACTTTCATCTCCTGCACAGCTTTCTTCCTCCACCACTACCCGGCTTCCTAGTAACAATTGTATCTCCTTGTATAAATACCGTACTAGCCAAAGCAATCTCATAGAAAAGATGCACAGCAGTTTAGGACTACCTTCTCACGTGCAGGTTTCAAGGGGAATAGGTTACTATACTGTAAATATACCGTATTTTTCTGCTTTAAAGATTTGTGCCGTTCTTTTGAAAAAAATGTTAGAAAGAAATTTAGAACATGACAAAGGCGACACTGGAGCAATTCAGTTTGCATTTTAAAAGTTTTTATCTTCAGTGCGATCTATTTTATCTCGCACTTGAGCAATCCTTCCATTCAAACAGGAGATGTGATCCAAACAGCACTTCAGATCGCTCCAATTTCTCACCCTTTCAATTATTGATGCTCCTTTCCCACCTTTTGTTGCTACGGCAGGTTCCTCCATTTTTAAAAAAATTCATTTCCCTCCCAAAGAGTCAGCACTCTATCAGATACAAAGCAAGTATTGAAGGGCACGTCCAATGTATTAGAACTGTGTTGCATCAGTTAGATAATGTTTTCTTTTTAAAAAGTTAGAAAATACAAAAATAGAAGAGGAGCTTTATCATCATTTTTGATGTCACAACTCACTGTTTTTGTCACAGGGTTGTGACAAAACACTGCCTGCAGCTCAATTTGAGAGCAAATTAACCAACTGCACTGAATGCAGAATGAGATAATCAAGAACTCTCCCACCTGCACCAAATAAACCACAGCTCTAGTGCTGCTCCACAAAGGTGTGGGACAGCTTGCAAGAGGGGCAGGAAGGATTGCTACAGTGGGGTCTTGACTTGAGAACTTAATCCGTATTGGAAGGCGGTTCTCAAGTCAAAAAGTCTGTAAGTCAAGCCGTCTGTAAGTCAAGGGTCCACTGTATTACCGAAAAGCATGTGAACTATATGCCTGTCTGATCAACCTCTTAGTGTTGTATTTCTTATGGGTTTGAAAAAAAATATGATTACCTGTATCCTGTCTTCAGGAAGCTCTGTCTTCATAGCCAACATCTCTCTTGCATACACATCAGGATAATGGGCCTCATTAAATGCTTTTTCCAGTTCTTCTAGTTGATAAGATGTAAAGATTGTCCTAAAAGGAGTAAAATCTATGAGTGACAAAGTAAACATAAATGAAACGTTTAAAAATGTAAAAGGGTGGAAGACAGAAGAAAATTTCAAGAACTTGAACTAACTTTGTGAAGGGTTAGTTCTACAGACAACCAAATCCTAGAATGAGGAAAGCCATAGGAAGTGAAAAGGTGCTTCTGTTTAGTAGCAAACCGCCATAGGCATGATTCTAGGTTAAGTATTTTGCTCCAGTTTTTATTCTGATATTAGGTCCTGTTCAGATCAATGGGAAAATCCAAAGAAAGTTTGAATAAGATGGTGGGTTTCAGTTTCCTTTTATTTCCATGGAAGCATTGAGTATATTCTGAAAACCCTGAAACCAAAACAAATGGGCTCTTGGCTGGAAAATTAAATATAAGAGGAAAAAATTTTTTAAAGGCAGAAAAACCAAAAAGTTCGCTCCAAATATTTGGCCAAGTTCTAGAGGAAAACATTCAGACATTTTAATTTTGTCATCTTGGCATGATAAATTTGGTCATCCTTTGATGTTCCATTCTTCCTCCAAAAATTTGGATTGGACCACATGGATATCATCCTTCTAGCTATATAAGCTGTGTTTTTACAGCTTTTATATAAACTGAATTCTATTCTCATGTTGATCCTAATTTTTTAAAAAAAGAACTTTATATGGTCCTACATCATTTTATTTGGATTTAAATTTATTTGTAATCAATACTGCCTGATTCCAAATAAAATATGGAATACAAAATTAGACTCCTTACACAGGGCTTGGAATTTTCATTGTCTTTAGACTACAATTCTCAAAAACCCAAGACCAGGGTAACTGAGGATTCTGGCAGCTACCATCTAAAAAGTAATGTTTCCAGACTCTGACATCTGTCTGATAAGTGTAGATCATGCAAAACCAAAAGAAAGATAAAAAAAATACAGAGGATAAAAATATTGTGGCTTCATAAAGACTGTTATACTTTAATGTGAGTTTTCTTGGACAAGTCCATTTCCTCAGAATCCAGCAGTAAGAGGTCATGTTTTGCTACAGATTAGCACAATATTAGTAAGGCCTGTTGGCTCATGGATTTGGCTCTAGGTACGACAGTGACCAACTAGTCACTGTTACGGATTTTAAATGATTTAATGGTCAGAATTAACATTACTTCCGTCTGTAAAATTAACATAATATACTGTATGTCCCCCATATTGCTGAAACAAGAAGCTAACAAAAGATAACACGTTTGGAAATTAATTACTTTCTGATCTGTGTAAGCGACTTTCAATTCTGCAGAGGGAAATTTTGGTGACAAAACCCTTGTACTGAGATGGTACACACCACAGGTGGCTTGGTAATTAAGCTTGAATTTTAGGACAAAATTCAAGTCTGAAAAAGTAAAACCTGTTATTTGTTTTTCTCTAATTTTCTGTTGTTGCTGCAAAGTAACATTCAAATTATTGTTTTTAAGTGGAAGTCTTTCACTTCCAATGCGCTCTGAGCATTGTAGGATCATTTCAATGGATGTAGAGTAACAAGATAATCCTCAGCTTCTTTTTTCTTAAAAATGCCCAGTCTTACGTTTATAAGTGATCTGAGCAACACAGAGATCCTTTAACACTAACTGCAACTTCTACTTGTAGTTTTGCTCAGCTCTGTTGTACTGCCAATATAATGGGTTTCATACTAAGGACGTACTTCTTTTAGGTTTGTTATATCCAAAATAAAAATTTCCTCTTCAATTTGCACTCACAAAGAGATCTACCTAAAACTAGCATCTGGGCTTGGAAACAAATGATGTACAACTCTAGGTGAGGGAGGAAGATGCCTACAGATGATAGACTTTGGAGATCTCATTCACATGGTTCTTGTGCTGCAGATATGAATGAACATCAGACTATCCAGTGCAATTTTAAAAACATAAAAAGCATCTTTGATTAATCTACTGATGAAGGAGATTGCATACTGCCATTTTCATCTGACTCTACGTGTTACAGCATATACACATGTATCCCAGGTAATATGAAATCAACACCCACTCCAAGAAATACAGCTTAAAGAAAAGAAAGAACTCTAAAGAAGTCAATCAAATTTTTTAAAAAATTCATTTTAAAAAATCTATACTTTTCAAATAGGATATCTCAGGTGCCCTAGAATTTTTTCCTTGTATTTAAAACACAAAGAATTGTATCAGATAAATAATTATATTAATGAACATGTGATTAACCAGAATGTGTTACTATAAGGGATCTCTTCATCAATAAACTTTTATTTAAATTTGCTTCTTTAGATGTGCAGGGCTTGTAGTCTCTCCTCCCACGACCCCAACTCTGCTTTTGCCCTCCTGAATCACAGTTAACACAGGTGGAACAAACTTGTTTAACTGTTCCCTAACATTTTGGCGTGGAAAAATGAAAACAATATATCTTATTTTTGTTTGGAAAAATCGGAGAGGTCATCGGGATTGTTTTAAATTCTCCCACTTCTATTTCCTGTAAAAAAAAATGCTGGCAGAAATGCACTCTGAGGAAATCCACTCTTATATTCCGTTTGTTTTTAAAATACTTCAGTCCCCTTTTTACCAAACAACTCACCTTCCCCATTTTGCTCCCTACTGTGTCTCAAAAATAAAGAGACTTCTCTCTCCTTTTCACTTTGCAACTTCTTTTTGGAAAGGCATTTCTAGAGGATAACTTTTTTTTGGGGGGGGGAAACAGTTCAATATTCTAGGCAAGGAAAATACATATTTCATGTGAACTAAAGCTGATTAAACAAAACTCCTACATCTGAATGTTCAGTTTCTAATTCAGTTCCATTCTGGATTCCATTCTGGCACGAATTACGTTCCAATTCTCATCTCCGTCTAAACGTCGAACCCACCCACCCCCGTTTATATCCGCCCACTTCCCCTACTAAGTTCCTGTCCAGATTTCTTTTGACCACATACGGTGAGCATCGTTTTTGCCAGTTCCGAGGGGAAAGGACCCTTCCCTTCGTTCCTTGCTCTTCATCCCAGCCTGCCGTTCCCGCAGTCCTTGCCTGGATCCACACATTTGGGGCTGGCTCTTAGTAGACCCGGCCGAATTGCTTCCCCCAAACCGTGGCCAGATGAAGGCGTCGCCTCGGCCTTTTGTCTTGAATTCCAAGACATCGCGGAGTTGCGACTGGCTCGCCCTGGACCGATAAATCTGCATCTACCTTAGCGATCCCTGCGGTGCCAACAAAGGCTGCGATTTCGTTCTCATAATAATTCTGGGCGAAGGAGCTGATCGTTTTCCCTAAAGAGGGCGAGGGAGGGAAAGGCAGGTAAAGTTCCAGAGAGCCAAGGCTACCCTGAACAGAGGAGGCTTGGGGAGACCCGGGGAAAGGATGCTAGCTTTACCTCCGAAGCCCTTTTATTCACTTTCTCCTCCGCTAAAACCGCACATCCTCGTCTCTGCAAAACGTATTGGCAGCGAACACAGTATTTTCTTGCTACGCACAAAAAAATGCAGGAGCAGCAGCAGCAAGGTGGGTGAAGAATTAAATCCGCCTCACAACCACCTTTGCTGACCTGATGATTCCTATGCAGTTGTTCCTTTAAAAAAAACCAAACCAGGTGCCACGTTGGTCATTTATAGGAGGCCTTTTAATACCATCTAATCAAAACAAAATCAAAGATTCTGATTGGGCAAAAGGCCGGTTCGATTTAAAACATACATGCACACACACACACACACACACACACACTAATAAGCCCTTAGATTCTTGAATTGGGGAGGGAAATCAAGGCAAAACTCAGCCTCAAAAGATCATTGGCGCAAACGCGGCGTGCCGGAGGTCCCCGCGGCCGGCTCCCTCCGCGGGCGGCGCGCCTTCTGGCCCCGGGGCCACTCGGAGCGAGGAAGCCGGGCGGATTAGACCGGCCTGGGAAAGGCGAGGGGCTTGGCCGCCGCTCCTTGGGAGAAGAAGGGAAAGTGCTCCGGGCAGCCGCAGGCCAGGCAGACCGACAGAGGCGAGGAAGGAGCTCCCTGGGGGCCTCCTCTCGGAGGTCTGACGTTTCAAAACAGACAACAACACTCACCCCAAAAAGGAGGCCTAACAAAAAAAAAAACCAAAAAAAAGCTAAGCTTGGAAAATCCGGCCCCAGGGTGATGATGCTCTCCCCCCGTTTTGAGCCTTGTCTGGAAAGAAGCCTCCACTGAGATCTTGAAAGCGATGTAAAGGCATGGGATGCAAGGAAAGGTCACACCTCTTGCTGGCATTTTCCACAGTCCAATTCTACACTCTAGAAGACACATTGTCATCATTATATACACATAGTCCATGTTTCTTTCGCCGTCTTCATTCTTCAGGTCTTCTTGATAAGGCGTCAGCAACACAGTTCACTGACGGGGGGATCCCAGAGACGTCCTACCGCCTGCACCCGACTCGCTTCCCTCCTCCTGGGGCGAACGAGCGGGGCTGCCTTACCTGTGCCGTCTCTTCTTCCGCTTCTTGCTCTGGTTTAAGGAGGATTTTGACATCTTTCTGTCGCTGGAAGAAACATCTTCGGAATCTGGGGACAGAAAGGCGGCAGCTAATGGAGCGGGGTAGAAAGCTCCCGGACTGGGTTTTTTATGTGTCTCCCCTCCCGGCTCTCTAGGACATGCCAGTCAGCTTAGGGGAGCATCATCCCACCTCCCGGAGGGCAGACCTGGATTTTGGGGTGGTTTGTGTTTTTTGTTTTGTTTTTTTCGTTTGCTTGGCTCCGATTTTCGTTTCCTGGGTGCGCCCTAGAGGTCCTTCCAGCTCCGAGATGCCTCGGTTTTTTTCACGCTATTCTCTCCCCCCCCCTTCTCTTGTCTCCTTCCTCCCTGAGCTTGGATGGCAATTTTCTTTCCAAACCAGCTGTTTATCCGGCATTTTCCTCAATTTCTAATTTCAGCTGTCAAAACTGAAGGAATTAAAAAGTCTTGGGATCCTAGAACTATTTAAGGCCTCTTCTGCCCTCAATCTGGGACTTCGGAACTGGAGAGAGAAAAAAACTCTGGACGAGCATTTTTACACACTGGAGAGGAAAAAAAACTCTGGATGAGCATTTTTACACATTAGACCTCTAGTCGCCTTTCTCCGCTCTCATTAGGAGTGTGTGTGTGTGTCACTTTATTTTATTTTATTTTATTTTATTTTTTCATCCAGGTTTTCATTCCTGTTGTTTTAGCAAATCTGGTTCTCCTTTTCTAATTAGTCCTTTCGATTTCTTTGCTACTATATATGATAAATCGAAGCCTATAGCCTGCAACCTGCAGCGCCGAGCAGCATCAGGCCCTGCTTTTGGGTCCAATTCGTACTCCACAGAAGAGACCACAAGGGCAGTGATTCGAACTGGATACGAATCTTGCCCCTTTGGTCTTCCTCCGGCGGCCCTTTGGCGCTTCTCATGCTCCTTCATCGATTTTATTTCGTTATTATCAAATTGAACGGCGGTGTTCTGCCTGAAGGTGTGCGCGGAGGAGAGACGTCGTTCGCTGGGCAAGTGTCACATCTGGATGAAACTGGGCTTCCCACGAACGGGAGAGGAGGAGGCTGCGCTGATCCAAGAAGGCTCCCCCCCAATATTTGGGAGGTTTCTCATTCGCTCCCTGTTGGGATGCAGCGGCGGCCCATTTGGAAGCAGGAGC